GGGGGATTATTAATACAAACTATTTACGGGAAGAGCACTTCGAGTGGGATTATTAAATGAGCTATCAAAACATTTAACCACCATTTTCATACTCCAAAATAGTAATTTTTAATTCTAATAGAGTTATGAAATGAGGTATTTTGATATTTCATCTTTCAGAATGTAAAAATACATTATGCAATCATGCACAATAAAATATCAAACATGAGTTATGAATTTAACCACCTCAGTGTCCATTTAGAAAATAACATGTGGCAATTAGATATATTTAATTAACAACTATTTTATATCTATGGTTGAAGCAAATACATTTAGATAAATATCAAAATAAAATATTAAATAGCACATAAATATTTGCAAACTCATTTTGATACTTTTAAGTTGGAGTTGTTGTAGATATTTACTTCATTATATTTATTAGAGTTATAATGAAATAGTTATTAGTGGAATCCAATATATAGTATATACGATCATTATTATAAACAAAACAATTGATATTTTTAATATTAGCCATTAAATAAAGTGGATAAACGAATTTAATTCCAAATATTTAGAATTATTATATTTTGAAATATATAAAATCAATTCGTTTTTTTTATGAATTGATTAAACTTAACTTAGGTTATTCAATTTATTAGTATAATCATGATAAAATTTGTATTGTAATTAGTATATAATTTAAAAAGTTAAATCAATCGTAAAATTTATTGTCACTCGATTCAGTAAAGAAAAAAATAATTATTTAAATAATAACATGAAGTACTGTAATTTTTAATATGGTAAATAATTGGGAGTACATTACTCTACACATGGCATAACAAATAGTGTCAATTTTCGCAAGATAGTAAATTCAAACATGTATCTTTCTTTTTTACAGATAATATTAATATATAATATTAAATTAGTAAAAAAATACATATTCTCTAGTCATGTTCATGTAAAATGTAAAATATCAAATAATTTATTTAGCAATATGTTTTTTTAATATAAATCCAATTTTATGAATTAAAATTAAGAAAATTCGTAACACCACCAATAATGCAATTATAATAAGGGAAGATTTTAAATCGAATTTAACTAAATTCAAATTAAATTAATTACAAAATTAAATTCAAAAATAAATTTATGTAGGGTTTCCAAGAAAGTTGATATATTTAGAGCCCTTTTATAAATGGTAGGATATAAATGTATTAATAAAATAATTAAATATATTTAATTACCTTTAATTTTGGAAAATGATGACATATTTTTTGATGATTTATTTCCACCAATGAATTCGCCACATGGGATGAAATTGAGGACATGTCATCAATTGAAATTGCCAAATGTCAATCAATTAGCTATGCAATTCAACTTTTATATATTATATAGATTTTCAAAAATTTAATTTCTTTTTTCTGCAAATTAAGTTAATAATATATTTTTCATATCAGTTTTCAAAATCCAAATTTGATTTTTTTTAGAACGCAATTGAAATTAGTTCTGATTACTTTTAAATAAAAAATCCAGTGATTAAAGATCCGACGGTGCAAAGAGCCAGTTGCACGGACTAGGCAAAACAAACGGAAACAGCGAATAAAAACCCTCGGCCCGTGAAAAAGGCAATAAGAAGAGTGAGTGTACTTTGACGCACAGCATCACCTCAAATTCGTCTCTCTCACACCCCTGTTTCGCTCTGCAACTCTTCTCCCTCTCCGTGAGGGTTTTTTTTTTCTTTTTCTTTTTTTCTTTTCTTTTTCTTCTTTTTTTTTCCTTCTTTTTTTTCTTCGTCTTTCAATTTATCTTAGTTTATCCAATTTTTAATTTTTTTCAATTTTCAATATTGTTGTATTATTTATACGAAATAAAAAAAAAGGAAGATGCAGCAGCAGCAGAGATTGAAGCAGCAAGCACTGATGCAACAATCACTGTATCATCCGGGCCTCCTCGCTCATCCTCAGGTTTTTAATTATTATTAATTTATTAATTTATTTATTTTTCCACCTTTTTTTGGGGTGTTATTTTGCTGTTTGGGTTATGCCCTTTTTTCTATGGGGCTGTTGCACTTAATTTACCTTTCGTGTATGTTTTGAACAATTATTAAGTTCAGTGCTAACATTTGTTTAGGCTTCATTTTTGAATCACTTGTTGTGCAAAGTAATGGTTCTTTTTAGTTATGTAATGCATAATGAAATGGTGGATGGCAACGGTTGAACCGAACTTGTTTCCGAAGCTTGTTTCGTTGTCTCTGTGAAGAAGTTGCGAATGTTGGATTATTTACTGTGTTTAAGAAGTTCTTGAATGCATTTTGTGTGTGTGTGTGTGTGTGTGTGTGTGTGTGTGTGTGTGTGTGTGTGTGTTATGTTAGTTAGATGAGGTTGATTGTTTAGGTGGCTGTTCCCGATTCTCTTACGTTCTGCAACTGAGTTGCGTGCTTCACCATCTTTTCGTATTTGAGTTGGACAATGCAATGTTAGATTTATTTGTCGTAACTGCAATTACGTGCGTCATTTCGCCGCTTAAAATCTGAGCGGAAAGTTGTTCATTTCCTTTATTTTTCTGTTTTTTTCTGTGGGTTTACGTGTCTTTTTAGGATGCTTCCAAATATAATTTATCTATGTATTTAGTGATCCATCAAGAAGTTCTGTTTTTCCCCATCATGTAGGTTTTATGTGGAGGAGATTAAACTTTTGTAATTTTGTTACTTTTGTAATATTGGCCTGGAAATAATCTTTCAATGACTAGCAAGTTGTTAATATATTGTAATTACTTGCTGCTTCACACGTTAGAAAGGAGCCGATGTGCTATCGTTCCTTATAATTTTAATGGGTAATTTTGTTGCCTGAATGACCATAAAATCTGTTCATAATATCTGATCTGCCATTTTGTATTTGAATGAGGAAACAAATTAATCCATCATACAGTCTCACTTGAAGACCTTCTCCGAAAGGATTTATATCCTAATGTTTGAATTTCACCTGAAGAGAATCTTTTATATTTACATCTTAACTCTTACGAACTTCCATTTAATACGCAGATCGAGCCTATCTTGAGTGGGAATTTGCCACCTGGATTTGATTCAACTACATGCCGCAGTGTGTGAGTTCCAGTTCCTTATTATCATTTCGTTTATTCCTCTGCATTCTTTTTTCCAATTTTCTTTTGATGCAACACAGGTATGTTGGAAATATCCACCCACAGGTTACCGAACCGCTTCTTCAAGAGGTTTTCGCTGGTACTGGTCCTCTCGAGAGTTGCAAGCTCATTCGGAAAGAGAAGGTACAAATTTAATACTTATTATCTCACCTTTCTTTACTAGTTTATAGACTTGCTTATCACATAAAGTTTATAGACTAGTTTATATGAAATTTGATTTTGTGAATTCCATGGTGAGATTTTATTGCTCTTTTGTAATACAATGTTTACACCGCCTTGTGATGCAGTCATCCTATGGTTTTGTGGATTACTTCGACCGTCGATCAGCTGCCCTCGCCATTGTGTCTCTGAACGGCAGGCATTTGTAAGCATAGCTATGGTTGGTTATTGAAACCGGAGTTGACTTTCTTCTCTGGCTAATACGCATTTTGCAGGTTTGGACAGCCTATAAAAGTCAATTGGGCATATGCTAGTGCTCAAAGAGAGGACACATCAAGTATGTATATACACTTTTAATCCTCTTTTCATGTCACAGTTTTTGGCTTTAGTTTTGATAGTGTTTCCTATGTTTAAACTTCTTATGAAGGTCACTTCAACATTTTTGTCGGTGATCTAAGCCCGGAAGTTACTGATGCTACCTTATTTGCATGCTTCTCCGTTTATCCTAGTTGTTCGTAAGTTCAAATTTACTGATTTTGATATATATATATATATTTTTTTTTTAAATTGGGTCAGTAAATTTAATATTTTAATTTCTTTTTATTGATGCAGAGATGCAAGGGTGATGTGGGATCAGAAGACTGGCCGGTCAAGGGGTTTCGGGTTTGTTTCTTTTCGTAGCCAGCAGGTATGCATAATGTTTCTCATTTTCTTCCATATATTAAGGAATACATACATTGATCATGCTCCATTGTGTATTTCTTTAGGAGGCTCAATGTGCGATTAATGACGTGACTGGTGAGAATTTTACTTTTACTTTTTCCTGTTCTATTAGATTTTATTGGATTATTAAATTGTCTGATGACATATTCTGCTATTACCTCCTTTCTTGATTTTTTTTTTTTTTGCTTATTTTTTCTCATGGAATTTAGTATTTTCGTATGGTGGAGGTAGCCGTAATAAAGTCCAACGCTAGAGAGTTATTTTAACTAATAAAGTATCAGTGATGTGCAAGATTTTTTTAATAATTTTCACTGAAGTAGACAAGTAGAATTTCATGTGAATCTAAGCATATTGAATTTACATGAATATGATTTTACGCTTTAAAAATAAAATAAAAATTTAAAAGCATAAAATATTTCAAAGAAATTTCATCACATGGTTAGAAGTTAAAGTTTGATGAAAACTGTATTAGTTGTTTGGAAGATCATTCTTTGGCCCGTTTTATTCAGTTTCAGAAGTGTACCCATTTTTGCTTTACATCATGTTGTCAAAAGTTAAAGAAGGTTCAAAACAATATAACTCTTCAAGATAGACTTAAAATGAGTTAACTATGAACTTTTGGAAGCTCTTTCTTCTGAAAATTGGATAAAAGTCGTAGAAATTTGAGTGCAAGATCCCGTACTGGTGAGAGAGCATATTGAACTTCTTGAGATACGATGAATTTTGGCTGTGGTAGAATACAATCATATTATAAAAAGTTCTGTATAGTATATAACTTCAAATTTGTAAGATGAACCATCGACTCTAGAAAAACAACATTTTTTAGTGACGGCTAATGTAGATTCTTACTTGCATAAATTAAAAAAAAAAATCCAGGGAAGTGGCTTGGAAGTAGACAAATTCGCTGCAATTGGGCCGCAAAAGGTGCTGCTGGTTTAGGCGATGACCAGCAGAGTTCCGATTCCAAAACTGTTGTCGAACTTACAAATGGAATATCAGGTTCGGTTTGTTTTCTTTCTAAAACAGTATTCACATTTAACCTGGCATGTAAACCGAAGATTGCACTAGATTTATAATCACGAGATAATTCATAGACGTTTTTACGCATAATTTGTTGTGCAGAAGAGGGTCAAGAGAAGAGGAATGAAGATGCACCGGAAAACAATCCACAATACACCACTGTTTATGTTGGCAATCTTGCTCCTGAAGTAAGTAACTGTTGAATCGAATTTAATTTTCCATATTATATCTTTTTTCGATTTTCTCATAAATTGTTTTCTTCCTTTTGTCACACACCGATCATGTTCCAGGTGAGCTCGGTCGATCTCCACCGTCATTTCCATGCACTCGGTGTTGGAGTAATCGAAGATGTGCGCATTCAAAGAGACAAAGGCTTTGGTTTCATAAGGTACAACACCCATGCCGAAGCTGCTCGTGCAATCCAAATGGGCAATGCTCGAATTCTCTTTGGCAAACCCATTAAGGTACAAGTACAATACGGTTGCTTTTCATTCCATTTTCTTTAAGCATTTTTTTTTTTAAAATATATAATGAATTGAATAATGATGTGCAGTGCTCGTGGGGTAGTAAGCCTACTCCACCTGGAACGAGCTCGGGCCCACTACCTCCCCCGATGACAGCTCATAATATAGCCGGTTTTACAGCTGCTGACCTGGCGGCATACGAGAGGCAGGTTGCTATGAGTAAGATGGGTGCAGCAGCACAAGTTCTTATGAATTCACAGGGCCAGCGTTTTGGTGCCGCCACTCAAGCTATGTATGATGGTGGTTATGCCACCATCGCCGCTGCTCAACCCCCCTTGTATTACCAGTAATATGTAGAAAACCCCCCACCCTGCTGCTGCTGCTGCTGCTTTTTAAAGGGAAGTAAATTTTTTTTTTTTCGTTTTCCTTTTGTCGTCTCCATTTTTAAATTTATGCCTCCTCCCGTAATTCCAGAAGTGTATCACTATGTATTTTTTTTTTTTAAATTTTAGTTTTTCGACTAGGGATGGTTAATTTAAATGAAGGTTCAGTTTGGTGAGCAAATTTGTAATGTGTTTTCAGTACAAGAACTGAGTATGTTTAGTTTCTTTTTATTACATTTTTTTGTTTTATAATTATTATTTAGAAATTATGGTAAAATAACTAATAAGTTTTATTACTACATTTTAATGATGGTGAGATACTTTTGTTGTATTAAATACTCCATCTGTTCCACAATATCTGTCTCTTTTAAGAATTTTTTTTGTTCCATATTATATGTCACTTCATAATTCCAATGATGCATTAATTACATATTTTTCAATTATACCCTTATTAACTCTCCAACACTCTTTCTGCATTAATTAATAAATAAGGATATTTTGGTCTATCTATATCTATTTTCCTAAAATCAAGACATATTTATTGAGATTCTTAAGACACGTGCCAATGTGAAAAACGACACATATTTAGGAACGGAGGGAGTATAAATGATGCTCTTCGGATCTTTTCTTTTCCTTTTTTTGTACTAGAGAGAGAAGTTGATACAATGTGGGAACTGTGACTTGACGACAAAATTGTCAAATTCTAAAATGAGTGGGCCCCGCCATTTTATAATTAGCTTTCTCTTTGTTGCGTAATGTGGGGCCCACAGGGAAAAATCTCACTAGAAATTGAAATTATTTTGTACCCATTAATCTATATAATATATAAAAGTTGAATTTCACACCTAATTGATTGACATTTGTCAATTTCAATTGGTGACATGTATTCAATTTCATCCTATGTGGCAAATTGATTGGTGAAAATAAATCATTAAAAAATACGTCACCATTTTCCAAACTTAAAAAGATATTAAATTATTTTATTATATATTTATATCGTACTATTTATAAAATGCTCTAAATATATAAACTTTCTTGGAAATTTTAAGTAGTTTTATTTTTAATTTAATTTTAATAGTAATTAGTTTAATTTAAATTCAATTTAAAATCTTCACTTATTATAATTGTATGATTGATAGTGTTTCGAAAATTTTGTATTTTAATTCATAAACTTGGATTTATATTAAAAAAAAATATTACAGAATAAATTATTTGATATTATACATTTTACATGAACATGACTATTGAATATGCATTTTTTTTACTAATTTAATATTATATACTAATATTATCTGTAAAAAAGAAAGATACATGTTTGAATTTACTATCTTGCGAAAATTGACTCTATTTATTATGCCATGTGTAGAGTAATGTACTCCCAATTATCTACCATATTGAAAATTATACTACATGAATTTCATGTTATTATTTAAACAATTATTGTTTCTTCACCGAATCCAGTGACAATAAATTTTACGATTGATTTAACTTTTTAAATTATATACTAATTAAAATACAAATTTTATCATGATTATACTAATAAACTGAATAATCTAAGTTAAGTTTAATCAATTGATAAAGAAAAACTAATTGATTTTATATATTTCAAAATATAATAATGTTATTCTAAATCTTCGGTATTAAATTCGTTTATCCACTTTATTTAATGCCTAACATTAAGAATATCAATTGTTTTGTTTAAAATGTATAATGGCCGTATATACTATATATTGTATTCCACTTATAAGTATTTCATTATAACTCTAATAAATATAATTAAGTAAATATCTAGAGCAACTCCAACCCAAAAGTATCAAAATGGTTTTGCAAATATTTATGTGCTATTTTATATTTTATTTTGATATTTATCTAAATGTATTTGCTCCAACCATAGGTATTAAATAGTTGTTAATTAAATATATCTAACTGCCACATATTATTTTCTAAATGGACACTGAGGTGGTTAAATTCATAACTCATGTTTGATATTTTATTTTGCATGATTGCATAATGTATTTTTACATTCTGAAAGGTGAAATATCAAAAGATCTCATTTCATAACTCTATTAAAATTAAAAATTACTATTTTGGAGTATAAAAATGGTGGTTAAATGTTTTGATAGCTCATTTAATAATCCCACTCGAAGTGCTCTTGCCGTAAATAGTTTATATTAATAATTCCCCTAATGTTTGTTTACGTCTTAGATCGACCCCCTTATGGTATGATTTTTCAAGGAATTTTTTTATTACGTGGAATATTCCTCTAATGTTTATTATACCCTTGCACACACGACATTTCTTTATGGTACTTTTTAAAGACAAAAATTACCCTCAGGTGAACTTTACACGAAATCTTTATTCTTCTTAAATAACACTTTCACAAACTTTTATTATTACCATGACCACCCATGAGGGTAATTTTTTAGTTTAAAAAGTACGATAAAATAAATGTCACGTCTGCAAGGGTAGACTCCATATTTTTTGGGACACTACATGGAATAAAAAAAATTCCGTAAAAAATCACACCATAAGGGGGTCGTGTAAGACAGAAACAAACATCAGGGGGATTTTGGTAATCACCGATAAGTGGGGGTGTTTTCTGTAAATTAGCCTAAGTTCAGGAGGATTTTCATAATTTAACTTATTAACAATGATTACTGTTCTTTTACGTCAACGTTTGCTTATGCCCTTATAATATTTTAAATAATTTTAATGTCAGTTTGATAATATAATTAAATATTAATTTCTAATATATTTAATATGTGATTTTTTATGGTTCAGCTACCACACATAAGAAATTTGATATAAAGGTTCGACATTGAATAAACTTGGTTTTTTTATACTAAATAATAGATCATTGCAAAAAAAGTTGTTGCAAACTCAGAAGTTGTGCTTAATATTAGGATTATGATTAACATTAGTATTAGAATTATAATTAAGGTTATGATTATGCTTAGTACGATAATTAGTGATATGCATTAGTATTAGGATTATAATTATCATTAGGATTAGAATTAGAATTAGAATTAAGATTAGAATTAGAATTAACATTAGCGTTATTAGTATTAAAATTATTGGAAAGATGATTAATGTTAGGAATAGGATTATGATTATGATTAGGATTAGAACTATGATTAGTGTTATGAATAGGATCAGGAATACGATAAGGATTTGGATAATATTAGAATTACAATCATAATGAGCATTAACATAATAATTAGCATATCTAGATTAGCATTAGCATCAAAATTAGTATTAGCATTAACATTAACAATATTAACATATTAGTATTAGTGATAGTATTAATAATATTATTAGTATTAATATTAGTATTAGTAATAGTATTAGTATTGATATAGTATTACTATTAGTATTAGTATTAGTATTAATATTAGTATTAATATTAGTATTAGTATTAGTATTAGTATAAGTATTAGTAATAGTATTACTATTAGTACAAATATTAGGATTAACATAAGTATAAGTATCCGTATCAGTATTAGTATCGGTATCAGTATAAGTATCAATACCACAATATGTATCAGTACCAATATCAGTATTACTACCAGTATCAGTATCATTATTAGCATCGATATCAATATCGGTATCAATATCAATATCAGTATCAGTACCAGTACCAGTACCAATACCAATATCAGTATCAATATCAATATCAATATCAATATCAGTATCAGTATCAGTATCAGTATCAATATCAGTATCTGTATCAGTATCAATATCGGTATATGTATCAGTATCAGTATATGTATATGTATCATTAGCATTAAATCATTAGCATTAAAATTAGTTTTAGCATTTATATTAGTATTAGTAATAGTATTAGTAATAATATTAGTATCAATATTAGTATTAATATTACTATTAGTAATAGTATTAGTATTAGTACTAATATTAGTATTAATATCAATATAAGTATCCGTATCGGTATTAGTATCGATATCAATACCAATATCAGTATAAGTATCAGTATTGGTATCAATATAAGTATCAGTATATGTATCAGTATCGGTATTAATTTCAGTATCAATATCAGTATGAGTATCAATATTAGTATCAATTTCAGTATCAATATTAGTATTAGTATCAGTATTATTAGTATAATATTAGTATTAGTATTACTATTTTTATCGGCATCAGTATCAGCATGAGTAATAATATTAGTATCAGTATTAGTATGAGTATCAATATTAGTATTAGTATTAGTATTAGTAGTATTAGTATTAGTATTAGTATTGGTATAAGTATTACTATCAGTATTAATATCAATAATAGTATCAATATTGATATCAGTAATGGTATTATTATTGGTATTGGTGTATACATCTTATCTCTTTTGCAATATTTATAGGTTGTGTTGTTGTTTAAGTAATGTGCATTACTAATTGAATGTTGTTAGTGATAAACTTGCAGGTTATTTGAATATCTATTGTGGTACATCTATGCTACTGTGTTGTTGTTAAGTTAGTTATTTTGCAGAGGATTCACATGGTGTAGTAGATTGCATTCCATGAAATAGATTTATACCATATGTTTTAAATTATTTCACTTAATCTTCATATCGTGCTTTGCGCCATTCGCATATTCTTCTTTGTAATATTTAATTCAATTTCATGTGTTACAACTCTGAATTAAGAGATAGTTTCTTTTATTTCCTTTCATTTTGTTTTACTTGAATTGGTGTTGTTATAAAGACACAATCGTTTGAATATTATTATTTTTTTCATTTTGGAACTGACATCCGTGCAACGCACGGGTGAAGTACTAGTTGATATTTATTTCATAATGGCGTCAATTGACCTCTGCTGTACCTGTTACATGACTCCTCCACTGGGCCCCACACCCATTAATTTTCTTTATTTATTCTCTTTTTCTTAAGGGTGGAGCCGAAAGCTTTCCTCTATAATTACTTCTTATTTGTTCCTCTAGTTGTAATTACGAATTATTCTTTTGCATCCTTATTATTTAAAAATTACATCTAGCACCCTGCAATTTGTTATTTTTTTTACATTCACCCCTATAAAAGGTTGTTAACGTAAGAAACGTACAAAAAGAGGGTTTGGAGGACTGATAATTACCTAATTTTTTTCTACTCTTCAATCTGTTATTTAAACTTCATTTGTACACAAATACAAATACTAATATTGATACGAATGATAAATTATGATCAATCATTGAGGCTTAGCTTAAATGGTAATGGTACCACAGCTTTTCTGTTTAAATCTCTTTCAGTTAAATAATAATAACAATAATAATAAATCACGATTAAAATTGAAAAAAAATATTCCTCAAATTTTAATTTAAAAAAAAAAGAAAAAGAAAGAAAAGGTTGAGCTTTCTCTGATATGTATTAATGGTGTTTGTAACACTTTACATCCCGGAATTCATACTCATCACCGTTAGTGTATTATACTTTATAATATTTATGTCTTATCAAACTTATTTATGCTTTTCTTGGCTAATTTAATTAATTTAAATCGCCAGAATTCCAGTTGTAAAGATCGGTCCTTTAGCGTACGGCGAGCCTGCAACTTCCGCCGCCGCCGCCGCCGCCGGCAGCCGTGATGCTTCAGAGCTGCATTTTTCTTTGCGCTCATCCACCACTATTTGCCGGTACCTACACTCTGTGCTGCAGAATGCTTTCTCTCCCCTGCAAAATCAAATCAAAATCAAATTAAATAATTATTCAAAATTATTAAAAATCAAATCTTGGAATTGAATGATTTTCTAAAAAAGTGGACTTTTTTGAAGTATACCTGTACATGTATATATCTTTGCCGTGGAGGTTCTTCCGGCACAGATTGCAGGCGCTCAGAAAATCCGACGGCGGAATCCCGGCGTCAGATCTCGCCGGAGATATGTGGAATACGGTTGCCCGGCTGCTCTTGTCGTTGGTCTGTATTCTGAAAGGCGCCCTGTCGTCGCCCTTTCTGCCGCCGTCCGCCGCCGCGTCGGAGTACACCTTCGTGTACGACTCGTCGGGGCCGTGGCAGGTCACTATGGTGTACTCCTCCAGACTCCTCTCCATCTCCGCTTCGTCCGATCCTCGTCTGTTTCTCGGTGAATTAACCACCGGAATCGGACTGGATCTCCCCAAGTTCCGGCCGAACAACGCCGGAATTTCGTTCCGGCCGCCGGCGGAGTTTTCTAGGGCGGCCACTATACCCAATCCCACCCCACCAAAATCGAAGCTTTTGAGTCCTCTGGGTGAGTGATTCCTGGACTCCGTCGGACTTCTCGGGCTGACGGCGACCTCCGCCGTGCCGGACTTGTTGCCGGAGAGCAATGATCCGGTGAGAATTCCGATCACCGGTTTTGATGTCCTCCCCAACATGGCTAGATTGGTAGGTAGAATTTTCTCTCTCTACTTGGCAAGAAAGATCTCAAAAATGTTTGTTGGTGAGGAGATTTTTGGATTCTTGAGCTTTCTCTCTCTAAAACTCAAGTCTTGGAAAAAAGTTTGATGGAAATGTTAGTGTAATAATATGCCTATTGGCTTTGTTATGAATTGCAAGTTATATAGTAATTGCTTTATTATTTAATTCTCTCTTTCCCACACATAGGTGAACCACTTTATTCATTTATTATAAATAATAAATAAATAAAATACACCACTACTTGTGCTCAAGGCTGGTCTAGTTTGTGTAGCAACGAGAGCGTGACGTTGAACAAATCAATTTCAATTTTCTAAGATATTTTTTTAGATTGAACCAGAGTTAAATCTTTATAAATTAATATAATCGTGACTAGAAAAATCTTATTAATTTAGCTAATATTAAATTATCGAATTAATAATTTATATGTTTTTACCGAATCGGGAATTAAAGAAATTTTTATTTAAGTGAGATTATTAATTTATCGAGGTTTTACTTTAATTATACAATACTTGTCCGATACATTTTACATATTTCGTATAATTTAGGGATTATTACTCAATAGTGAGCGACCCGATCCCAAGCATAGAATGTAGAATGGAATTTCCGATCTTCGTTGACTCTGATTCGAAATTCTTTCAGATCCGATTTTAATTTATGAAAACAACTCCGAAATTTTCATTTTCTCTCCACAAAATTACACATATAAATCAATAATATTGTGCGTTTTATATTTTAGGTGACTAGTATTTGTAATTCTTAGAATTATACCAATTCTTACCATTAGATTTCCGATCCTTTAATTCCAATTTTTGAAATTCCAATTTTCAATTCTTTTCAGAATGTTACGAAAAAAAATCAAATAAAATTCAAAAGTACTAATTTCGATCCGACTCGTCTGGTTTCGCTCATACGCGATGCACATAAGTATGTGTTTGTTTCTTTATTGAAAAAAAAAACATCACAACTTTATTCTATTATTAAATTGGATTCCAAAGTAATTTTCTAAAATGTCAGTTGTCAATGACCAACGCTGTCCAATCATTATGGCCCGATCCCAAGCAACCGGGCCCCACTTTCGCCGTTAACTGACTCAGCAAAAGATTCCGGTGAAGTGACGTCGCCGGCGTATGGTTCCGTTAAGGCCCACTATGTGGGCCCGGGGCCCATGGGCTTTGGAGCGGAAAGCGATGTATAGTGCAGCTGAATACCCACTCACAGTATTCAGTTGTTCGCAGTGAATTGACGGATATACCCCTCCATCCTCTCCACCAAATCTAACTACTCCGTTAAAAGATATTATTCTTTGTTGCCCAAAGGAAAAAATATGGGGAGATCTTATTTAATTTAATAATGAAAAAAATTAAAAAATAATAAATTAAAGTTTCACAATGATTTCCAACAGCTTTCCTCCCAAATATCTAGGCATAAAGTTTCCCACTTTTACCCCTCAAAATTACCTTTTTTTTCATTTTTTATGAGGGATTTTATTCATTGAACTATGGGCACTTTATAGTAAAGTGTGCTTCTATCTTTAATTATTTTTTTTCAAAAATAAAGAAACCTTTTTTACTTTATACCGACGCCAAAGAATTAATTTAAGGGGAAACTACAGATAAATCCCTAATCCAAAACTCAAAACGCAGATCAGTCCCTAGGTAGTTTCCCTAAGCAATTCAGTCCCTATTCACGCGTCTGACATGCAGATCAGTCCCTAATGTGAATTTTATATATTTTATTATATTCTCTCTCTTCTTTTTCACTCTCACCCTTTTCTCTCTCTTCATTTTCTCTCTCTTCATCTTCTCTTTCTTTCTTCTCTTTCTTCATTTCTATCTGCTCTCTTTCTTCTCTATTTCTTCTCTCTTTCTCTCCTCTGGTTTCCTCTTTTTCCAAAGAAAATATCATTGTAAAACCCACCCACCCCACAATGGCTACAAATGATGTATCTAATGATGTACCCACTGTGATTCTTGGAAGTTGTCGATATAAGCATCTGATAATGAAGATGAGTGTGGTCGTGATCCGCAAAGATGAAGCTAATTCGCGTGGAAAGAGGGTTCGCACCGATGGCTGGTAGGTCTCCATATTTTTATGTACTGCTGAAATGCATTTCTTTATGGTCGTTAATTATTGTGATACATAGTATAAAATATGGCACGTAATAGTATCATGCTAATATAAATATGGTATGGACGTATGGTACTTACAGTACGTAATCGTTGTTCGTATAGTATGCGTGATTGGTAAATTTGGTACTGTTGGTGGGAAAACATAGTATCATATAATGGGGAAGATAGTACATAACCTTCATCTGAATAGTATGGGTGATAGGTAAATTTGGTACTGTTGGTGGGAAAACATAGTATAATATAATGGGGAAGACAGTACGTAACCATTATTCGGATACGTACAAGCAGGTATATCAATTCACGATTAACCCAATTCCCTCGTTTGATGAGGACTTTGACTTGTACGATGCGTGTAATGCTCCGCCCGATGTCTTTGTTAATGCAGCTGATTGAGAACTCGACCAGGACGTAGAAAGACAAAAAGAATTCATTCACAAGTGCAGTTCGGGTTTTACTGTTGCCCACACCATGGTTACTCCCATTGGTGTGAACCATTTGAAGTTGGGCAAACTTTTTCCAACTCAAATCGTGAAGAAAATGAAGCTACAAGTGCGTCGATGAACCAAGTCCATCGAGAAAGTGAAGTGAAGAATTGCAATTCTGAAGGTGGAGTAGTTCATAGTTTGATAGTGTTGAATCTAGTAATATTTGCAGTCTACATGCTATGTAAAACCTATGTACTGTTGTTTAATTAGTGAACATAAGAGTACAATGTATAAGCTGGTAAAGTTAGGGTTATTCGTGAATATAGTACGCTTTGTACACATGTGAAGTACAAGTGATTCGTGACTATAGTACGCTTTGTTCACTGATAAAGTATATGTTTGTCATTCATATAGTATTGTTACACTCTATATATTATTGTCGGGCCAATGCATCCATATGATCGCATTTGAAGACACAACTCTTCAGTTTAAGACTATTAAGAATGAATGGAGACAATGTGGGAGTTGATCAATATCGATTATGGTAACAATTGAGGAAAATATTAGTTTTACACTTGAGCATTGTAGGCTTGTATGAATATATTGTATAGTATATGAGTATCATGTATGAAATTCAACATATTTATGGGATCTTGTATTCCAAACGCAACAATAATGCTCACCTACCTTAAAATAATCATCTAAAACATAATTTATGCATCTCCCGTACTTATTGATCATTAAAGCGTCAATGAAATTGGTACAATTCAATTCATCAAAAAATATGGTACGCTTTGTTCATCAAGTAAGTACAATGAATGCACATGTGAAGTACAAGTGATTCGTGACTATAGTACGCTTTGTTCACTGATAAAGTATATGTTTGTCATTCATATAGTATTTTTACACTCTATATATTATTTCCGGGCCAATGCATCCATATGATCGCATTTTAAGACACAACTCTTCAGTTTAAGACTATTAAGAATGAATGGAGACAGTGTGGGAGTTGATCAATATCGATTATGGTAACAATTGAGGAAAATATTAGTTTTATACTTGAGCATTATAGACTTGTATGAATATATTGTATAGTATATGAGTATCATGTATGAAATTCAACATATTTATGGGATTTTGTATTCCAAACGCAACAATAATGCTCACCTACCTTAAAATAATCATCTAAAACATAATTTATGCATCTCCCGTACTTATTGATCATTAAAGCGTCAATGAAATTGGTACAATTCAATTCATCAAAAAATATGGTACGCTTTGTTCATCAAGTAAGTACAATGAATACACATGTGAAGTACAAGTGATTCGTGACTATAGTACGCTTTGTTCACTGATAAAGTATATGTTTGCCATTCATATAGTATTGTTACACTCTATATATTATTGTTGGGCCAATGCATCCATATGATCGCATTTTAAGACACAACTCTTCAGTTTAAGATTATTAAGAATGAATAGGAACAATGTGGGAGTCGATCAACATCGATTATGGTAAGTTTTTCGTGAATACACATGTGAAGTACGCTTTGTTCATCAAGTAAGTACAAGTCTAGTGTTGACAAAGTATCTTCGAATAGACTAGAAAGTATTTGTTGCTTATTTTTATGGTACGCTTATATTCTTTATACAAACTAATTAATCGCAAAATAAAGTACCATGTGTTCAAAAGGTAATTACATTTCATCGAAACATATAGTAAAATGTATACAATGGAAAAGTACGAGTAGAGCTAATCAATAGTATTATTAGCTCTACAACAAAAGGACAGATTGTTTATGGCACAAAAAACACATTCATCTATTTGAAAAGCGATGGGTGAGCACCTGCAGCCTATTGATAGCTTACTGCAATCTTCTTTTACATCAATTCCTGCAATTACATACACATAAAACTACAATTATAACAAATACAACGTACTATAAAGTTCAACTACTAGTACTTCCAGTAATTTCGTTCAATACCATCCAAATGCACTAGCAATACCATTGTTGCATATGACACATACTACACTACAATCAAACATTATACTATTCGAATGCACTAGCAATATCACTCAACAGCACTAGCAATACTATTGTGGCATATGACTTATACTACAGAACCACCAAACATTATACTTCAAGTACCCTGTGTCAATACCATCTAAATGCACTATTAATACCATTACTGCGCATGACACATACTATAGAACCAGTACGAAAAATACAATAAGCCTCTTTCCCATGTCATAAGAATAATACCCAAGAGAAAACTATTACAAAATCATGAAATTCGACAACAAATAAATGATCTTTGCAAACCCAAACAACAGAACAACAGATATTGGAACCGATTTAATGATTAGGGGAAACACCGAATAAAGTCGAGGCATAATACCCATGAGTGGATATGTTCAAAATCATGCAATTCTATAACAAATTAACCTTTTGCAAGCTCAAGCAACACCCAAATGGGTCTGTTTCCAATAAAATGAAAAAAAAAAAAAAAAATCAAACCTTGTTGTTTACCATGCTTCACCATTGTCTATAAATGGGTTTGTTTATTTTTATTTTTCCTTTCGCTTTATTATTTTTCTGCGTTTTGTTGATTCTTCGTGCTTCGTAATTTCTTCGTTCTTTGTTGTTTCTTTGTTCTTCGTTTCTTTGTTCTTCGTTTCTTCTCTGTTTCTTCTTGGTCTGAAAATGGGTATAAACTGGCAAAGAGCGTGTAATACAAACGGCGCGTTGGAAGTTGAAAATAAGTTATGTAAAATTAATATAAAGTAAAGGGTATTTTAGTATTTGCACATTTTATTAGGGACTGATCTGCATGTTAGGCGCGTGAGTAGGGACTGAATTGCTTGGGGAAACTACCTAGGGACTGATCTGTGTTTTGAGTTTTGGATTAGGGATTTATCTGTAGTTTCCCCTTAATTTAATTGCGCCTTGTAATTGTTTTATGAATAATAATAATATACATGTTTGGCAATGGAATTTACAAAATTCTATCTAGTGAGACAAATAATGGTTTGGGAGAAAATTGGAATAAAATGCATAAATTAAATTTTAGTGTTTTAATTTATCAGGGAGAAACCACGAATTCAGAAGGTCGTCGTCTACTTCCAAAACTTAGAGAGTGTTTGACTGAACATATCAGTGATTAAAATAGCTTATAAGATAGTATGAGTAAAAATAGCTTATAAACTCATATCCAAATAATTTAAAATTTTAATTTTAATAAGACGTAATAGCTTATCAGCTCTGAAAACCGTTTATAAAATGTAAGACTTTATATGTCATTTAAAATAAATTTGGCTAAACGGGCTTTCAGTCGATCATGATTGTACACATAGATATTTAACAAATAATCTCACATTTAATTTCAAATAATTTAATTTAATATTCAGCAAATTACAATAAATTATTGTGTATATGATAGGGATAGTGGAGGAATTATTTGGTGTACTTGCTACCTTTCTTGATCTACGGTTCTGGTGTGGTTGTCTTTTTCGTGGGGGCCTACCACCACACACTAGCTCCAAACTCCCACGCGTTAGGCAATTATTTTCTTCTCAGTTTGAGCCCCTTAACTTTTAGTTTGTTACTCTCTGCCCCTCCATGACTTTGTCATCATAATTCAATTTGTCCTTTTTTTTTAGAAATATCATAATTTAATTTGTCAAATGTTGAAGGTTTGAATTTCATAATTAATTAAATAAATTCGGACCAGTATTATAATCACTCGTATAATAATATTTAGATCAAACTCAACTTGTAATTGATTCTGAAATCTAAATTTTCCTCTAATAATATTTCAAAATAATGTAAATATAGGATAAAGACTAAATTATTAATTCAAATATAGCCTCATTTAAAATTTTGTTACATGTGTTAAGAAGTTAATAAAACGAGCATATATAGTAGAAAAAAAAATTACTATAACTAAAATATTATCGCAACCGATCGATTGTCTTTCTAAATTATTGAAAACTAAACTTTATAATTAGTTGATAAGTGAAATATAAAATGCAATACTTTGTTTCAGGAACCAATCAAATGTCAATTTATTGTTAGGTTAACAGTCATGTCACAATCCTGATTGGTATTTGGTATTTGGTATTTGTGAACATCATAAAAATTATATTATTTTTGGTGTTTAATTAGTCAAATTATTTGTTGCATCACGGGTGACTGTACATAGTTATTAAACAAATTAGAGTAGTATACTATAGTATATAGTAGTACTATGTCACATATTAAATGTTATTTATTTATTTATTTTGAAAATACAAATTAAATAATTACTTGAGGCATCTGTCAATATAATGCTTTAATTGACACAATGATCGGATTTTAAAAAGATCATGCGACTTTTTCTTTTTCCTTTCTAAATAAATATTTAAGTATTTAGCTAAACTGTGGGTACTAATATATTATTATTTATTCTTATAATTATATAAATAATAAACAATCATTAGGAAAATAAATAATTTAAAAAAACCCATACTTTGCTTTTCTGGTGGAGGCACATCCATCACAAACTTTAATAAAATTATAATATGGGGCCTTAATTAAAGGAACTTTATTGCATTAGCTAGAAAACCAATTATTGATGATCTATTTTTTCTGACTTATAGTTTATGTTGTATAGCAAAAGATAATTGAAACATCCAGAACTTCAAACAATGGTATATTCGTAAATAAGAATTATATATCAATAAAATTATTCTTGCAACTAATTACTTTAATTGTATTGTACGAGTATGTTTAAGTACGATTAAAATAGGTGTGGCATCTCAAAAGAAATTATACTACGCATAGCTTGATGATCAGATTGTTTATAAATATTTTAGTAATTTATTTGATTTAGGTTCCATCAACTTGGTATTAGAAAATGGAAGTACAATAATTTGTTGTGTCGTAAACCATGGCTTAACGTAATTAATCGTAATTAGGTAACATTGATGCTACGCTAATTAGTTGGGCCACGTCATACGGAATTCATTGTGAATATTTTAAGTTGGATGTAATTAAGGAACAGGTTAACGCACGTGAGTTGGTTTGTAAACCACTCATAAAATCAATAAAATAACAATTTCATTTTGGGGCAAATTACAATTGAGCCCAATAGTCTCTCGCTCTACTTTTTGGGCCACTTCTTGTTTTTTAAATGTTGAGCTTAGCCCATTTTGAGTTTTATACTCATCCAATTTACCAAAATTCAAAAATCATATAACAACTTATTGCCGAAATTGCACTAATTCTCTGCTTATCGTCGTCGTTGTTGTTGTCGCATTTGCAATAGTCGTTTTTCCTCTACGTCTTCTTCACGAACAATTGCATCTTATGTTTACATAATCTGACTCATTCGTCAGATTATGTAAACTCAAAATCCATTTCAATCGAAAACTTCTATACGAAAAAAATGATAATCAACTATACAAACCTTAAACAACTATACTGCATCAAGAAACACTGGCTCCAATTAACCGGAGAAAAGTATCGAATATAAATAAAAGAAACTACAGATAAACAACCTAAAATTCACAGCGCATGCACCCCACTATCAAACAACTGTAACATACTTATCAAAACATCGCCATCGCAATACGGACTAATTTACAAAACCTGGCAACGTAAACTGAAAATAAATATTTTCACGACATCATAAAGGCAAGATCAATAACCGTACGCTCGATTTCACACTCAAAAAATTGAATTACTACGAACAAAAACGACGTCGATAGCTATAAAACTCACATTGATTATGCAGTAAGTCCTAGCTGGAATTTCCTATAAAGTCGGACGCGAATTGCCCTCGTGCAATTCAAACGTCCAATTTTGCTTCAGTATTCGAAAACAAAGAAAATCAGTAGATCGAACGATTATGGGAGAGATTTTGGGGTGAGATATACATGAATTGTGGGATTGCATATCATCTAGGGTTATTGATATTGTATATCTAAAAATTAGGTGGAGCATATCTTGCCAATTTTCCCTTATTCAAATATTTGTAGTACGAAATTCTATAATTTTGACTACAATTTTAATGTGTAAATTAAACATGTTGTTGTATAAAATAAAAGTAACCAAGAGCCATAAATAGGAGTAATTAACTTGAGCCCTTAGATTAAGGATAACAAATCACGCCTTTAAGCGTACGTAGTTAAGTTTGTTCATAATTAACGTGCATGCATGCATGAACAGAATTCCATTGGAACGTCACTCAGAATTAATTAGGGTTTATACAGTAGATACACTCGTGGAATGCATGCATCGTATGCGTATTATCTAATACCCATTATATATATATATCCATTTATTGCAGATTACACACTAATCTTGACCGAAAAAAAATGAAAAAAGATTACATATCAGATATTATATATATTCTATTTATTATTATAATTATTTTCCGAACTTAGGTGATTGAATTTTGTTCCAATTAAACTCTTTTGGATAAGAATTGGGATACGAATCAAATCGTAATCCAACTAATTAAAACCTTATCCTAATCCAGGAGACTAATACTATATTATAAATAACCCTTGATTAAGCCACCAATATACGGATAAATCATTCTATCACTCATAATTAAAATGAATCGTTCAATTTTTTCTTCCATTTTTCTTTGCTCTACAGTGCTACTCTCTGTGATTCTATGCAGTTTGGCTACTCAAGTTTCCCATGATGGAAGGGCTATCACAATCGACGGCGAACGCAGGATTATTTTATCAGGATCAATCCACTACCCGCGCAGCACTACTGAGGTAGATATATACACTATATTAAATGTATAATATTCAAATGTATGTTTTTTTGGTGTAAATTTAATTAATTGGTGATTAATTTTTATTTTTGGTTGTGTTAATGGTGATTAGATGTGGCCTGATTTGATTAAGAAAGCCAAGGAAGGTGGATTAGATGCCATCGAAACGTACGTATTCTGGAATGCGCACGAGCCGATTCGAAGGCAGTACGATTTTACTGGAAATCTGGATCTTATTAGATTCATTAAGACGGTTCAAGACGAGGGTCTTTACGTTGTTCTTCGTATCGGACCGTATGTTTGTGCCGAATGGAATTTTGGGTACGTATTTTTTTTTTATTTTTTTCATGCTAATTAATTAATTAATTATGTTGAACATTTTATATATTTATTTTAATTTATTTTCATGTGTAGAGGATTTCCTGTTTGGTTGAACAATCTGCCTGGTGTTGAATTACGTACGGTCAACACTGTTTACATGGTAAGTAATCATTTTTCAATTTTCAAAATTCTATTCTATTATTTAATATTTTAGTGTTTTTTTTTTCCTTATTTATTATTAGTTTATATATATTTTTTTATTTTTTAAATTGCAGAATGAGATGCAGAATTTCACATCTTTAATAGTGGATATGGTGAAGCAAGAGAATCTATTTGCTTCACAAGGAGGTCCAATCATCATTGCACAGGTTTGTATTCAATTATTTATACTAAACAAATCACAAGAACAAATTAATTATTTATTAATTATTACATTTTATTAATTAATTATTATTACATATATATTTTAAAAACGTGTTTTGCATGCAGATTGAAAATGAATATGGAAATATTATGTCTACATATGGAGATGCTGGAAAAGCTTATGTCAATTGGTGTGCAAATATGGCCGAATCACTTGATATTGGTGTCCCTTGGATTATGTGTCAACAATCTGATGCCCCACAACCAATGGTAATTTATTAATTAATTAATTTTCTCAATTTATTAATTTTATTATAAAAAAAATTAAATCTAACATTCTTGAATTTGTGTGTTTCTTATAACAGATAAACACATGCAATGGTTTTTATTGCGACAATTTCACACCAAATAATCCAAATAGCCCCAAAATGTGGACGGAGAATTGGACTGGATGGTAATTATTATATTTATATTTATATATATATATTTTTATTTTAAATAATTATTTCATTTTTTTTAATGTATGTTGATAAATTAGGTTTAAGTTTTGGGGTGGCAAAAATCCACTAAGAACTGCAGAGGATGTGGCATATGCAGTTGCACGCTTTTACCAGACTGGTGGAACTTTCCAGAACTATTACATGGTTTAGTACTAATTAATCACGTTTTCAATATAATTTTTATGATTAGCTTTAATTAAATTTTCTAATTATGTAAATTATTATTATATACAGTACCACGGTGGAACCAATTTTGGTAGAACAGCTGGTGGACCGTATATCACAACATCTTATGACTACGATGCCCCACTCAATGAATATGGTAATCAAGATTATATTTAATTTGTGTTAATCATATATTAATTAATTAATTAATTACTACATAATTATTAATTTGATTTGATTCCTAATTAAATAAATAAAATGCAGGTGGCCTAAATCAACCTAAATATGGACACTTGAAGGAGCTTCATGATGTTCTTCATTCGATCGAGAAAACTCTCACTTACGGCAACATTTCCTCAATCGATTTCGGAAATTCCGTTTATGTACGTTTCGAAACCCGTAATTATTCAATTGGCCAAATTAAAAATGGGTTTAATTTACTTTAATTTAAATAAAAATGAAAATTTGAGTGCTGCAGGCAACAATTTATGCACTGAATGGAAGTTCAAGCTGTTTCTTTGGTAACACAAATTCAACATCAGATGCAACAATTAAATACCAAGGCGTTGACTACACAATTCCAGCTTGGTCTGTTAGCATACTCCCAGATTGTAAGAAGGAAGCATACAACACTGCCAAGGTAATTAATTAATTAAAATTTTTAATTACATATTTTTTTGTAATGAAATTTTATTGTTAAACCCTAATTTTTTTTAATTACAGGTGAACACTCAGACATCGGTGATGGAGATGAAAACGAATGGAGCCGAAAACGAACCGAGCGCGTTGAAATGGGTATGGAGAGATGAACAAGTTAAACAAACTGTTGTTCATGGAAAGGGCCAAATATCTGCTAGCCATCTTGTTGATCAAAAGGTCACAAATGATGTTAGTGATTATTTGTGGTACATGACTAGGTATGTATATATATATCCTTTTTTAATAAATATAAAAATATTAAATTTCCTAATTAATTATATGAATTTATAATAGTGTGAAACTCGAAAAGAAAGATCCGATCTGGAGCCGTAACATGACTCTTCGTGTTAATGGAACCGGACAAGTAATGCACGCTTATATCAACGGCGACTACTTAGGTACGTTTTTTTTATACTCGTTAAAAATACGATTTATTTTCAAATAAATATGTGGTATACTATAATTAATTAACTGCTAATTTATTATGCTATACCATTTTTTTTAGGTTCGCAATGGGCTACATCCGGAGTTTTCAACTACGTATTCGAGAAGAAAATCAAGCCGAAACACGGAACCAATCAAATATCATTGCTCAGCGCCACCGTTGGACTTCAGGTATATTTATATACTAATTAACTTAAATCAATTCATCTAATCAACTTTAATTTAACTGGCACATACACAAACCCTAACTGATTATTAATTGACAGAACTACGGCGCGGAATTTGAAAAGATACGAACCGGTCTACCTGGACCAATCGAAATAATCGGACGAAAAGGCGACGAGACGATAATCAAGGACCTCTCGTCGCATAAATGGTCGTACCAGGTTGGATTGAAAGGATTAGACAACAAATTCTTCAATACTAATAATTCTGCAGATCATCACTGGAAATCTCAAGATCTCCCCACCAACAGAATGATGACGTGGTACAAGGTAAAAATTAAAAAAATAAAAAAAATCCATAAACTAAATTTTGATATTTATATATATTTTAATTTTAATTATATATATATTATAAATATGTACAGACAACATTTAAGGCTCCAATAGGAGAAGAGCCGGTGGTGGTTGACATGCAAGGGTTAGGAAAAGGTCTTGCATGGGTCAACGGCAACAGCCTCGGGAGGTACTGGCCGAGCTACGTTGCTGACGTGGACGGCTGCTCAGCCGAGCCGTGTGACTACCGCGGCTCCTACGACAGCACGAAATGCGTCTGGAACTGCGGCCAGCCTACCCAGAGATGGTACCACGTGCCCCGATCTTTCATGAACGAGGATGTGAACGAACTTGTCCTGTTTGAAGAATTCGGCGGGAACCCGAGTTTGGTCAGCTTCCAAACGGTCCGACCCGGGACCGTGTGCGGGTCGGCTTATGAAAACAGGGAGATGGAGCTGTCGTGCGAGGGCCGACAGATCTCCGACATTAAATTCGCCGGCTTCGGAGATGTACGAGGAAGTTGCGGTGCTGCTTTCCAGAAGGGAACATGTGAATCCAAGAATGATGCAATGAGCATTCTCGTTCAGGTTTGTGTATATTATATTGTATTAAAATAAATAAATTATTATATATATATCTATTTTGACATTTAATTTATTTTATTTAATAATTTTGTAGGCATGTGTGGGGAAAGAAAGGTGTGTGGTGACGGCTTCGGAGGGTATTTTCGGGTCAACAAATTGTGAAGATGGGATATCGAAGAGGCTTGTTGTTGAAGCTGTTTGTTAGGTTTAATTTATTATTATTTTTTTAAATTAGTAATGCACATTTAATTTAGAGTAGGTATATTTTTTGTTTTGGTTCTATCTTTTATGATTCTTTCCGTATGGACCCCAATTTAGTTTTTTCAGTACTTGTTGAACCTTTATCTTAGTATAATTTGAAGTATTTATCTCCACCTCTATACTTGTTTCTATTTGTTAATTTTTTATATAGATGGTATTTGTTATTTTTTTAAACAAGGGTAAATTAATTATAAAAACCCCTTTCATTTTTCTATAATTACATCCATCTCCTTGAAATTTGTAAATATCTTATATTAACACTCTTTTGTAGGAGTGGATGTAAGAAATTTACAAACTGGATGGATCTAGATGTAATTTCTGAAAAATGAGAAATCTTTTTAGAAATTGATTTTGCCTTAGAAAGGTGGTCTTTTTAATCAATTGTTCAAGTTTTACACTTTGCCTACTAGCTATTGTTTAATTTGACACACTTGTTAAAATTTTACAATAATTGCTTGAGCTTGTTTTTATATGAGACTGGTTAAATTTTCCATGAAGTGTTTTTGGATTAGATTTGTTAATTTTTTGTTAATGCTCTAATACATATTTAAGAGAGAGATTAACCATTATTAACTAAATCTTGAATTTTTAACAACTTATCATGTCAATCCCTAAATCGAAATATCAAATACGAACTTGTTACAAAGAAACAAAATATTTATACTGTCAAAAAAGCTAACTACAAAAAAACAAAGGGGCAAAAAATAAATTAACGAGAAAAAAAAAAAAAAAAACCCTAAATATAAAGCGGAAAGTCTTCAAAACTTCCACACACGCGGTGTATCAAAAAACACACCGCCGCCGATGACGTCATCACCTCCAGCACCGGCGCTTCCGCCTCTGCCTCTCTCCTCCGCTTCCAAATATCCCCCACCACCACCATGAAATTCTCCAAAAGAAGAAGACCCCAAATCCGCCTTCTCCCCCAACAGCAGACTACCCACCAACGACTGCTTCAACTCAACATCGGCCACCGCCGGCGCCGCCGATCTACGGGCGTGCTTGGACGCCGCAACCTGAATCTGCGACCGCGAGAATCCATCGGCCGAGATTACATCCGGCGGATCATCAGGGAAATTGAGCACGGAAGAAGATCCGCGCAAGCAGACGACGGCGGCGTCGTATGCCCTAGCCGCCTCCTCCGCCGTGTCGTAGGAGCCCAGCCATATCCGGTCACGGCTGTTGGGCTGGCGGACCTCCGCCACCCACTTCCCCCATTTTCTCATTCTGACGCCCTTGTAGCGCCCCTCCCGCCGCTCCGATCTCTTCGACGACGACTGCGGTCTCACCATTTTCGCCAAATCTCTCTCTCTCTCTTCTTTTTTTTACCTTTTTTTCTGTTTTTTCCTCCGCCGCAAGATTACTTAAGCAAGTACGCGAGGGACACGTGGGCTGGTCTACGTGCGCCACGTGCTACGTATTTGTTTTTATTTATTTTTTGATTTTCCCTTTTTGTTTGTACAGAGGATACTTTAGTGGGGAGCAGCGGACAGGTGTGGCGGTGATAAGGTTTGGTCTGTGCTCAATATGGACACGTGTTTTGACTCCGTGTGTGTCTACATACAAATAATAGAATACTCTACTTTTTATTTTATTTTCCATTTAATTCCTATCATGCATTCATTACGATTTCAATTTACTTTTATTTTTATTCATGCAACAATATGATTTCAATTTATTTTTGGGTAAATTTCACTTTACCCCCTTGTACTTTGGCTGTATATCACTTTACCCCCTCGTACTTTTAATTGCATCGATTTGCCCCCTTGTACTTTGGTTCGATATCACTTTACCCCCTTATACTCTCAATTTATCGATTTGCCCCCTTGTACTTTGGCTCGATATCACTTTACCCCCTTCTACTCTCGATTGCATCGATTTGCCCCCCTTACTTGAAAATTTGTTTCAATGTGGCCATCGCCGTTAGTTTTCAGACATTTGACCTTAACACCGTTTGATTTAAGTATGAAAATTAGTAAAATGTCACACGCCTCCAGTTTAAATAATTATTAAAAAAATAAAAAATAAATAAAAAATAGAAAACAACAAAAAATAAAATAATAAAAAAGGCAAGACAGCGAAAAAACATATTCCACGACGTCAGCCGCAATTTTTTTTTATTAATAATTATTTAAACTGGGAGGGGTGGTTTTTTTGTAGTTTTCAAATTTAGATCAAACGATGTTTAGGTCAAATGTCTGAAAACTAACGGCAAGGGCCACATTGAGATAAATTTTCAAGTACAATGGGACAAATCGTTGCAATCGAGAGTAGAAGGGGGTAAAGTGATATCGAGCCAAAGTGCAAGGGGGTAAATCGATCAATTGAGAGTAGAAGGGGGTAAAGTGATATCGAGCCAAAGTACAAGGGGGCAAATCGATGAATTGAAAGTAAAAGGGGTAAAGTGATATCGAACCAAAATACAAGGAACCAAATCGATGCAATTAAAAGTACAAGAAGGTACAGTGATATCCAGCCAAAGTAAAATGGGGTAAAGTGGAATTTACCCTTTAGATTATTATCAAGTTGGGCCCTATGAATGACTGTCTCTATGAATTTGTGGATACGGACCTTTAGATTTTGGACAAAACCCATGTTTGTTTAATTATGAAAATTCGTTTTATGATCATTGCTGGATATCATTTAAATTCATTGAAAATGTATTTTGTACGTTTCACTATTAAATCATTTGAAAAACGAAAACAAAGAATAAATTACGAGACCATACTACTGATATAAGGTATACTTGTGAAGATTCTCCCATATTTGCAGACATTATGAAAACTCCCGCAAGGTATGTTGTAGAGGAATTATGCAAGAAACTTGTTCAAGTTATAAACATTTGTTTAAAAATAATGAAAATATTTGTAACACGATTCTATTGCATACAAATTTATAAAAATGTAAATAAATATGCTATAATTACCTTCTTTGAATTATAGTGACACATGTTAAACGGCAAAAATGACATTTCGGAGGAATATTTCATGGGGGTCTATTCTATGTATGTCGGGTTGTACATATACACACACACACCACAAATATGAGAGAACTTTTCGTAGTTAGACAGTACCTCGGATGGATTTCTCGTAATTTCACCAAAGTACGGTGCCTATCCATATCAAAATTGGACATTGATTAGGACATATACCTAAGGAGTTAAATGCTCAATAATAAATACAAATTGAAGTGATTCCAAATAATAGATTGTGCACTATCGAATAAGTACAAATGAAATGCAAACTATATATTATATAGAAAATCTGCAAAAACTTAGTCTCTCCTCCCCCAAATATTTGGTAGCCAACAATCAAAAGAGAGTGACCAACTGCCAAACAACTTGATGGTTACACTAAAAATGTTCCATTTATACCCTTCTTCAAAGCTATATTTTAATAATCTAATTAATATTTGGTTTATAACTTGATAGGTAAAAAGTCAGTAATTCCAACAGCAAAGATTTCAAGAATAACTGTCCCCCCAAAAAAAGATTATGTTGTAATCAAATTATTTAGTTTAATTTCGCTAGTTGTTTAATTACTTAATATGGATTTAAAAGTTCCCAAGGAACGACCCCTCTAAATAAGAGAATTCCTCACTATTTTGATTTTCCGACCCATAATCCCCGTTCGG